AATCAGTCCAAAAATAAGAATCGCTAACGTTAAACGATATCGACGACATCACCTTAGCGTGAAGTCGAGTGGCCAATAATGCGCCACAAAGCTCTAGCCTTGGTATTGTAGTGGGTTTCAAAGGCGCTACCTTGTTCTTTGATATTAAAAGACGAACTTGTGCTATGCCACTCTCGCTAACGGCTCTCACGTAAATACATGCACCGTAAGCACGTTCCGAAGCATCTGAAAACGTATGTAATTGTAAAGAAGTTATGAAATCTGTGCAAACCCAACGTGGTATACGTAGTGTATTAAGAGCGATCAGGGAAGATGTAAAATCTAAGAAAGCCTTTTGGAGGTCCGGTGAGACTTCCTCATCCCAATTGTATTTATTTACCCAAAGTTTTTGCATGAGAATTTTACCTTGAATAGTGCATGGACCCAAAAGACCTAGAGGATCAAATATCTGACTAATAAGAGATAAAATTTTACGTTTCGTTATTTTTTTTGTCGTAATATCTAAATTGATTGTAAACAATAAGTGGTCGTGCTTGCAATCCCAATGAAGACCGAGAGTTTTACTAGGTAACGAATCATCTAAATTTAACGTTTTTTCTATTGGACATCGTTCTTGTATGTTGTCGGGACAAGTAGATTTTAAAATTTCTAAGTTATTAGACTGCCATTTCCGTAGCTTAAATTGCGCTGACCGTAATGTTTTATCAACATTTTTGCAGAGCTCGATGACGGATTCTATAGAATTGCCACCACTTAGAAAATCGTCCACGTAAAAATCTTTAGTAATAGCCCTTTTTGTTTCGGGATCGGAACATTGCTCTGCCAGCGAAACTAAACATTTTGTCGCTAGGTACGGTGCAGATGAGGTGCCGTATGTTACCGTATTAAGGGTAAAGGATCTTATTTTCTCACTAGGATGATATCTGAATAGGATTTGTTGTAATGATCGTTGAGAAGGATTAACTAGAATGGCTCTGTACATTTTTTCAATATCCGCTGATACTACATATTTATATTGTCGGAAGCGCAATAAAATGGAGAGTAAATCGTCTTGAACGACAGGGCCAACCATTTGTATGCTATTAAATGTTTTCCCGCCATTAGAAGTGGGGTTTGACCCGTTGAACACTACACGTAACTTAGTAGTGCTACTAGCTTCGCGAGTAACACCGTGATGAACTAAATAATTGGAATAGCCTTGAACTTGAATTTGTTTTGGTAGTTTGGAAATATCACTCATATGTCCTAAGCGTTCATATTCTGCCATGAAGTCTAAATACCTATCTTTTAATATTGAATCGCGAAGAAATCTTCGTTCTAAGGATAGTAAACGACCTTTTGCTATTTCATACGAATCTCCTAAGACTTCTGGACACTCCTTGAAAGGTATCGTAACTGTAAATCGACCATCAACTTCGCGCCGAGTGTTTTCAGCGAAGTGTTTTTCGCAAGCTTGCTCTTCTAATGATAGTGTATACTTAGCGGGTACTGATTCCAAGTCCCAAAATCGTGTTAGTGAGAGGTCGCTACTTTGAGAAAAAAGGCATGATGATTGATTAATTTTTTTATTGCCAACTGTTTTATGTTCAGAAACGGTGCCTGAAACCAGCCACCCGAATTGGGTTTCTTGCAACTTAGGACATTGGTCTCCTAGATTTATGAAATTGGAACACATAACGTCCCAGAATACATCTGCACCGACTAAAATATCTACAGGTGATGATATGTAAAACGACGGATCGGCTAGCTGAATATTAGGGGGCAGTTGAATAGACTTTATATCTACGTTACTAGAAGGCAACGAATTCGTGATTTGGGGTAAAACGTAACAATTTAAGTTGACCTTGTAATTCCCTGAGCGTGCTTCGATAGATAAGTTACAAGACTCTGCACTAAAAGAAACTTGATTATTTATACCTGTCACAGATGAGGTTACGTGACGCCGCATTAAGCCGAGCTTGTCACATAGGTGACGCGTCACGAAGTGCGCAGTGGATGCGTTATCAAGCAAGAGTCGCGCGGGATGCAGCTTCCCGTCGACCGCGACAACGTTCACCAAAGCTGTGGAAAGCAGTATGAGGGACTTGTTATGATCGGTATTTATGTTGGAAGATAAGGCTACCGTGTTAAAAACTTCTATATCTTTATGTAAAAGAGTGTTATGCATTTTTGTACAGTATTTACAATGACTTAATTTGCAAAAAATTTCACGATGTCCTGGTCTTAGACAATTTTTGCAGATATTAAAGTTTTCTACTTTTTCAATTCGTGAATCTACATCTAATTTTTTAAAGTCTTCACAAATGAATAAAAAATGTTTTTGTTTGCACAATGGACAACTTGTCCTTTTATTTTCATTGTAATTTGTTTTAATTAAATTTGAATCTTTTGAAATATATGAATGTTGTGTATGTTGAACTGGTTGTAAATGTTGTGTTGTTAAATGTCTTTGAAATTCTTGTTGTTGTATAGCTTCCAGTAAATCTGCTCGATTGGTCAAAAAATCTAAAAATTGTTTTAATGTAGGCGAAGTTGTGATTGCATTTCTCTGTTGTTCCCATTCGCGAAATGTGGTACTGTCTAGTTTACGGAGCATTAAATGGATGACTATAGTATCCCAATGATCGGTGGGCTGTCCGAGAGAATTCAGTGCGCATAGACTTGTGTTTATGTTATCTACTAAAGATCTTAAGGCGTGACAGGATTCTTTTTGAATAATCTCTGTATTTAATAAGTCGTTCATATGTTGATTTACTAAAAGACGTTCATTGTCGTATCTGTTTGATAATAATTGCCAGGCAATAGCATAATTTTTTGCCGTAAATTCTAAATTTTGGATAACAAGCAAAGCACTGCCTTTGAGAGCAGATTTTAAATAGTGGAATTTGTTAATGTCGCCTAATTGAGTTGAAGAATGTATAATTGAAATGTATGTGTCTCTAAAATTGAGCCATTCTTTAAACTTCCCTGAAAATTCCGGGATTACAATTTTGGGAAGTCGAACGAAGTCGCGACTCGTCACTTCTCTGTCTACTCCCCCATCGCTCGACTCGGACACTGACATCGCGCGCTGCCGGTCGCGCTGATACTTGTTCATTATTGTGCGTGCCGTCGATACTAATGCGAAGTATTTGTTTTCAAATTCTTCTCGTTCCGACATTAATTGATTGGGATCGTCAGACAACATTTCCAACTCCGTCTGAAATTTATCAAAATCATTATGCAGACAGTCTATTTTATTTAAACGGGAGTCGAGTTCGTTATACTGACTTTCATTTACATTTATTATGCTTTCTAAAGTATTTAAGAAATTTTGAAAAATGGTTAATTTGCCTTTAATTGATCCTCTGAGCTTAATTAAATCTTTGCTTCGTGCATCACTCATTTTAATAAGGGAAAAAGAAATATGTTATGTAAAAAAATAAGTTGCGCACGGTATGCTGAAATAGTTTAAGGGTCCAAAGGTCGCCTCGAATGCACGGGCGATGAATGCGCGCACGCCGACTATGCGATAAATAGGTGTAAACAAGAAAAAAAAACAAAAACTATAACAACGAGTATTTGTCTCATACAAAGGGCCAAAGGACGGAGATATGATGATAATATGGAACAGACTCACAAATAACGTTCCTATGTCCTCCGCTGTGGCCGTCGTCATGAAGCCTCTTGCTGTATTTTCTTCTTTCTTTGCCGGTTGAAGGACCATATGTTGAGCGAGTGGACAGTATGATGATGGAATGAAAGACTGGTTGTAGCGGATGATTGTAATGCAAATGATTATGAAAACAAATATGAATTGATATGGCTGTCGTCGGGCGGAATGGCGTGGCGCAACTGGTAGATGCAGAGAAGAAGGGCGCGCGGGGCGGCGGGTGGGGTCGGTAAGGTTGTCCCCCGCACTGCTGCCCCGCCGTCGGTGCAGTAGTACCAAACATTCTTCTTATTCTTCTTCTTCTAATTCTTCTCATTCTTCTTCTTCTAAATCTTCTTCTTCTAATTCTTCTTCTTCTAATTCTTCTTCCAATGCTTCTTCTTCTTCTAACTCTTCTTCTAATTCTTCTTCTTCTTCTTCTTCTTCTTCTTCTTCTTCTTATAATTCTTCTTCTAACTCTTCTTCTAATTCTTCTTCTAATTCTTCTTCTTCTTATTCTTCTTCTTCTAATTCTTCTCATTCTTCTTCTTCTAATTCTTCTTCTTCTACTTCTTCTAATTTTTCTTCTTCTTCTTATTCTTATTCTTCTTCTAATTATTCTTCTTCTTCTTCTTCTTCTTCTTCTAATTCTTCTTCTTCTAATTCTTCTTCTTCTAATTCTTCTTCTTCTAATTCTTCTTCTTCTTCTAATTATTCTTCTTATTCCTCTTCTTCTTCTTCTAATTCTTATTCTAATTCTTCTTCTTCTTCTTCTTAGGGTAAAGTGCAAGCACAAAACATGATGACCCAACTCGATCTGTCTCCACTTCACGACTATATTCGCATCAACTGTCAAAACGCCTTATATACAGATGGTGCCTCAAGCCAGGTGCTGTGCTCTGCTCTGATTGGTTGTTACTTAAATTACGATAATAATGTTATTTAGTCTAGGAAAAACGTAACTTATAAAGTAAGATCAAATTAAAAGTTATTAGAAGCTTTTACAATATCAATAAACATTAAACATTGCACACTATGCGTTAAACAGTAACTCATTTGACAATGGCTACTTAATAACTTCCTACTTTAAATATAATCACAATGGCTTCCTCCGACATACATATAGATTAATTCTTATACCATTTGTTTTACCATTGACAGATAATGCGTGATAGAAAATTCATTACGGAAATATCACCTAAAAGTGACGATCAAATAACAGCACTTAAAATACCTCCGTGCAATCAATACATTATCTATGGACTGAGTACAGGAATTGTCACTAAATATGGTCTAAGAACTAAAGTAATTAAAGACATTTTAGATGTTTACAGTCCAGTGTTATATATGAGTTTTGTTAACCCAGATTTATTGATAGTTGCCGGTAGGAATAGTTGTCTGATGGCATATCTGTTTACTACCGATGAAGATTGGAAATCTGTAATGCTTCAATGGGGTAACTGCTATTTGGGATCACTGGAAATATTAAATGATATACAAGGTAAGTTTTTTTATACTATTATATATTTTAATAGATCTTGAAATATATATTGTTAGTTGAGGGTGGAACTTAAGAATAATGGTGGGGTGATGCCGATATAAAAAACCGCACCCTCATTTTCGGGACACACTCGCCTCGCACATAAGTACAGTATGTTCTTAAGTGTGTAAAAATATAATTTTCTCTACTATAATATTTATAAATAAATTTACAATTTTTGTATCTCACGCACAGCTAATTGCTAAATGCTATTATTATGTTATTGAGTCTAAATCACCACTTATATTTTAAAAGCGGTATTTTACGTGTTCATAAATTGCGCTTTTGTCGCGATACAATCTGAAATTAGTATGAGGTTAAGTTATAAAATAATCGCTTAATTGACACTTAAGTTAAAATTGTAGTTAAATAGCTGCATTTAAACCTTTCAATTGCATAAAAACATCTGTGTGCTTGAATATTATAAAACGAAATCAATATGAACAATTTATTTTTGGACACATTTCTGATCCGAATTAAACATTTGAACATAAAATTTGCTAAAATATAGAGAAAATATTATATTATATATTAATTTAGTCCGTATAATAAATAAATGTAAATATTATGATCATAAATTTATATGTAATGATGTGTTTAAAACATTCATGTTATATTTGCAGCTGGCTTTTTTGTTGACCCGCGTTTGTTTATCTTTCAATGTTAGATATACAGGATGTCCCGTAAATAATGGATAATCATGAAACCGCCTGTAGTACACCCACCCAGGGCTTCCTGCGTTCTTAGTTCTGTTCTCAGTTTTGTTCTCTGTTCTGTTCTATTCTATCTCAGACAGCAGCGGAAGGCTTCATATCAGCGTTAAAGCA